GACATCGTAACAGACCTGAATTATTATTCGTCCTAACATATTGATCGCGGTTGCTTTGGCATTTACTCGATTTGAAGTTACGCCATGTTTAGAGCCTAATTTGCTTGTGAATCCATTTAGACAATTTCCCCATACTAAAGGATTCTTTAGAATTCCTCTACACATGTGTACATTCCCCTCGCGGACTATGGAAGCGATCGACACTATTCAGCAGAGAGAACAGAATGCCGATATCATTTTCTGCTTCACCCTTCGTATTGATCTGTACGTTTCCAAGTGTTCATCTATACGACGTGATCATAAGTCAGAGGTCATATCACCTTGATTCGCAGCGAGAAGAAGGTAAAATATATCTGTGAGCTTCTAGCTGAAGCTTACTACTTCGTCGACTGTCAGATATCTACGATCAACGAAACTCCTAGACAAGAGATACAATACCGGATATGCGAGCAATTGCCGTGAACAAGGGAGATTGGAAATGCCCCTCTTCTGTTCAAAATCAGGATGGCAATGCGAAACCCTTTGCTGGAAGCGCATGTTGTGCAATATATCCCCAGCAGTGAATGGTGATGGCGCCAACAGAATGACTGTTCCGTGGTAGGCGGAACTTGAAGTTCGTTGTTAGAACAAGAAAACGAAATTACTTCTACTGGATCTGCGCTGATTTTGAGCCCGTTTTGTCGCTCGATACTAATGCAGGTGTTTCAGTGGCGTTTCGTGGCAATAGTGCGCACACTTCAGTCGATCGATGCAGGAAGACAAACATACCTTCATCATCATAACTGTGTAACAATTACAAATCGATGACGCAATTTGATTATACCTTTATAACAGACGTTCGGATTTCATCGTCCAAAGTTACTTTGACGTACACACGTTTCAGGACATCATCATATGTATTTATAGTCTTAACATTCGCAGCAACTGTATAGCTTCAGTGTATCTTACCCGGTAGGACTAAGGCAGGCGAGGCACACGTAGTGTCATAGGAAATAGGATTTCACGTAGGAAAATAGACGAACTACAGATTTTGAGCTTTACTTGAAACATTAAAAATACTGACTAAAACGTTACTATATTATTTTACTTCTGTCCTGTAGGATCACAGTACAAATTTCGATTCCATTATATAGTCCTTGCGAGGTCTGTGATAAACCATTACATTTGTGACGATATCATAATTAAGTTACAGGGTGCAAAAAGCCAAACAATTGCATTGGCCCTACTATCAGGGAAGCACTGTTCAAAGCGCTGCCTGATTCTAATGCTTTCTGTATTGATGTTTGTTCTTAACGTCGCTATTCTCGCAGATGTAAGTATTGAAGTATCTACTTCAAACCGAGATGGGCAAAATCAGCATCTATTTATGGCATTGTTTAATTTGCCACTCAGTTGCGGACTTTCCTCTGTTTACCATTTTATAGCTTGCCTAGATCAAACTGACGTAGCGTAAGGCCTAGCTTTATGACTACAAGTATATACGGTGGTATGAAATTACACGTGCTCATGTACATAGTACTATCGCAGACTATGGCGCATACTCGATTCTTTATTGTGAGTTTAGATAACGGCGTTCTTCGATTCAACCCATTGTTCTGTTCGGACGTGTTGTCCGAAATAGGAAATAATTTTATTTTTTTTTTTATTGTACAAGTGAAAACTTGTGCCCTTGTGAATCTTTCGTTGGCACATGTCAATGCGTTCTATAATACATCTTATTTTCAATAAAAATTTCGTAGAAATTCGGATTGACCAGACATTCAAAGAATACCGCTGCTTTTCAGCCATCAGATCTTTTTTCTGCGGAGGTACTTCAAATGCATATCTATCAAAATGTTGTCGAAAAATGTCAGCACCTGCATATTTTTTTACAAACAGATTACCTTCTTTAAGCGACAGCTTCGGTGGTCGATGAGTTAATCACATGACGGTTACCATCTGATGAAAAAATGTTCCAGCTTAAAGAATGCCTCAGACCACCTGAATGAGCCGTGAAGTTCATTATAATCATGTAAAATGGCTCGCGTGGGAAGAATTCACACGCACCCGTAATGAAATCTCTTAGCCACCGATGGCGTTTAGTTATAGGGCTATAAAAGACTGATGCTGAAGTCACACACCGCCTACGGAGAAGCTGTTGTTTGGCGTTAAAATTATCGTCGGTCGGGTATTGACAACGGAAAGCTTTGCCTCTAATCACAAATGTTCATTGAGCTGAAGAAGTTTTTGAAAAACATTACAACGTTCTTCAAAGCCTGAATCATTGCTATTAGTTGAGTCCCCGTCAATATCATTGCGCTATTCATTAAATACCTATTCAAACAAGCAGGCCAACGGACATTCACCTTATTAATTAGGAATCAAAATTCAGGTCGTTGTTCGGCCACTTCTACCTTCGATGATGAGATGACCGCTGTTCACATGACCAGCAAATGTGCCAACTTACATAAATCAGAATCGACCAATTGGATGAGCAATTTCTAATATCATGCGTCCCACTCGGCCCTTCTCTGTTCACTAATCCGCCCTTTGAATGCCTTTAATCAACGATTTCCAGCCATCTCCCCTCGATGTAGTTCACATTTGAAGTGACAGTGAAATCCATGCATGTATTTCGTATACAATACGTCACTGGTTAGCTTGTTTATACCGTACGTCCACTCTTCAATATGTACAGCGCTGAAGACAGAAAGCTATCTATCTGGCTAAGTGCGTAGCAATGGAACGAGCACAACCAAATGGAAAAAACCTATCGTCGATGATTTTATCGGCAGTATTAATAACAGGATAGAAATAGCTGGCAAATGCTCTTGCGCCTGTTTTTTTTTCTGGACAGTTTCAGGTCGAAGTTCCTGCCAGGCCGACCTCAATTGTTCATTCAGCTATTCGTTTCTGCTCGTCCCCTCATCTGCCACAGGTGCCACAGATACTATTGTCGTTCGCTGAAGATGGACCATGTCACATTGCGTACCTTCCCTGCGTGTGGTAACGCTCGTGGCCTTGTGCCACATTCAGCGCCACTGGGATCAATACTGTAGCCGGCAGCAGCTTCGCCATCAGAATGCGGCAGCTATTGATCGGTACTACTTTGGATCAAACTAACCTCGTTATGATTAACAACGACAAACTTCACTGGGGCCATCTCTATCGCTGTCATCCAGACAGATAGCTAGATAAGTGCAGTAAGAGACACAAGCGCACCATATAATGATGGAATCATATAGGACCGTACGCCGCACGAGTCTGTATAAGGTCGTAAAACTGCACGAGCGCCTAAGCATTATCGGGTATCAACTGACCTAGAGCGGGCAGATGATCCGATTTTTTGGCAGTAAGTACAGAACAGCCTGAGCGGGAGGAGGCAGCTGATAAAACGTTTCGAGTAAATGAAGCTGCGTCATCTGTAATAAGCTATATCTCAAACAGAGCATCACGCCTGACTGAAAGGATGATTTCCAAATGGACCATTCTAATAATGGAATTATAATTATTATACTTAACAATGCATTCTTCTACCATACGGAGGTAAATGCGTGCGAGGAATATTTTACGTTTTTATACAGGCGTAGATCGATGCCTGCGGGCGAATTAGCTCCACAGAACGTTAATGTAGTTCGTAACACCGTTTGTGCCCTCGCTTCGGTCAGCTGCTGGGCTACGTATGCCTCAGTGTTTATTCATATTATCGAGCTGCGGGTTGGTAAAGCCCCAAAGTCACCATTTCCTAAGCCCCTTGAGATAGGTATTCCTGAAATAGATTGCTCGACACCATAGTGGTACGGTACAATGATTTCTAGTCGAATCAATTTAATCTATAGCAATTAGAGATGTGTCACAATGTCCACAATAATTCAACAGCACTATAGAAGACTCAAGAAGGTCTATACGTTCAACGTCTAGCTGCCGATGTTCAAATCACCTCCTGTTTCTTTTTTCGTTAATTATCGAATACCGCTGGTGCGTGTAAAAATAAATTACGCAAAAACAATTTCGAGATAAAAAACAGATTAGTGGTGAGCATATGACGTTTGAAATCAAACTTAGAAGAATAATGAGCGTTGCGATATGAGACAAGATTGACGGCTATTATTGTAACTCCGTTATTTTTCGTGCGTACTCGTTTTATAGACTAAACACCTAAAGTAACGAGTTTTTTTTTTTTTTTTTTGTTTTTTTTTCTATAGGGGCTTCCTAAAAAGACCCACTAAATTTGCTAAGAGTTTCTATATTGGGTGTCGGATTTCTTCGGCGATATAGGCTATACGCAATACGACCGGTGGGGTTGGTCTGACACATTTTTAACAAGAATCTATCCCAATGGACAAGTAAATTTTGCTTCGAAAAGATGGGGCACAGCATTCGTAAATAGTGAACAAACAGCCATTCGTTTTTATGAAATAGAATATCACACATGTGTCAGTCCAGAAACTGTACCTGAATGCACAAAGGTCGCTAGCTGGAACTCACTGGTCCTCGATACGCACCTTGTGTCCGTTAGAAATGGCATGGAATGCTGTTTCAACATACAGTGATAACGTCTAAAGTTATAGGAATTAGTTGCCTAATGTATACTTATATGCTGTAGAAGAGATTAAGCAACGAATTGATATGAAATCCCATCAACGACCGAGTGGTAAGATCCAACAATACTTATTATTTCAATAAACGTATTTAATGAGTTTATGTAGTATATTATACTGCAAGCAACGATAATGATGACCGTCCGTTGAATATTCGCGAGACGCAAACTAAGTGCATACGAGGTTACCATAATCGGGCACACTGGCAGCCTAGGTCAGAACAGAACGCTATTGCACATGGATTATACATCCTGCTCTAAGATGTAGAAGATAAATGGCAGTTGGACTTATAGTGAACTACATGAGCCATGTCTGGCGGCGTACGTCCGTCGATCCTGTGCTCATTCATTCTGCCGTTATCGTTATCTAGTCTTAGATATAGAAATAGTTTTATATGTTTCTATTTCTGTATTTACGTACCGTATTTCGGTGATGACTAAAGTGAAGAACACGAGCGTATCCGATTATGGCTTCGGTACAACGGATGTGCACGCGAAAGTGTACTCGCACGTAAGTGCAACTTGTAAGTTTTGCTAAGACACACACACATACGGCAGGTCACAGCTTTTCAGATTATCACGCTGAGGAACGCTCCGACCGACGACGATGTCCAGCGATTCGACGCGCGCGATCGTACGTTGCTCGATTGAATGCGCGTGGACCACTTAACGAATCAAACTACTGAGTAATCCACTTACTGACCGTCGTAGAAAGAGAATTTGCTAAGCCCGAAATAGTTAACTTAATCTTAGCTACCCTTTCGGATAGACTAGATAAGTCGTTCGTTTAAGTCGTTGTCGTCCTTGTTAGACCAACAAGTCCGTCCGATAAACTGAAAACCGCCGACGATATGCTTGGTGTTTATTGTCGAATCAGTCCATTGGGAAAAGCTGGCAAGAATAGATGATCACTACCGAAAGAAGTGCATCAGGATCCTCCTCAAGCAACGCGTGTCGCTCCGTTCAACTGCTACAACGTCCCTTTCCGCTGGGCGTTAGAAAGGAGAAGAAGCAATGGAATGAAAAGTGGTACTTTTGACGCAAATCTGATCACTTAGGCCTATCTAAAATGTCATGTAAGAGTCCCTAAATCAACAAGGGCCACCGCAAGTGATGTAGAAGTACAGCAGTAATTTGCTGCTTCCCTCCTATTTTTGGAAATAGGACCTTTCTAATCATCATAGGGAAACAATGATATATAGATTATATCTTCGAGCTAGTCACATAGATACGTATCACTTAATTATAGACTCTATTATAGGAAATAGACGTCTCATGTCAATAGTCACGTGCGATTAAGCATCAATCCAGCAATTGTTTGGCATCCACACTATCGGTTGTGTACGAGGCATGAATCAGTGTTACATCACAGAACTTCAATAGTATTATTCAGTACTGGCTCTCGATACCCTGGTAAAAATTACGTACATACCCGGCTCAGAATTAAATACTGGCCATAAATTTGTATGCTCTTTAGTGCAATCAGTTTATTCGTCCGTCTTTGAGTGGTATAGAAAAAAAAAAGATAAATTTGTACCGTCGGAGTTATGCTTCCGGGTGCAGCTTCTTATATGCGGACAGCATTAGATAGAAGATGAGTTTACGCCGTTCTGTTTCGAGCAGACTTTATTGTAAAGTAAATGGGCGTTCCGATATGGTTACTCATATTGGTGACACTTGATAATACTCAATCAACTGTAACTACTAACAAACATGGATGCGGAAGTTGGTTCGTTCGTAGTCCATAGTTGACCAATTTTGCGGTGTCAATAAAGGATATTGATTTTTAACACTTGATTCTATTGTAGCAAAATAAGTAAACAAAAACGCCAAATGTGGCCAAAAGTTTCTACTTGATACATTTAGATGCGCATTTAGGACGCATCGAATGCCTATCCGGAGCCTGTATATAGACTGGCGGAAGAAGTTAACGTACACAATACCATATCATCATACAAAAAAACACCAACAACAACCATCGATTGCAAAACAGAAAAAAAAAAACAGCTCCATGCGTGTCATTAACGCAGCGATGGTTGATTTGACACGCAACTTAAATTGCGGTCTACACGAAGAGTTGTTCAGCATCCAGTAGAATCCATCTGTAATCCGCCGCATCGCTCAGATTTGAAATTCAATGAAAACCCCGTTCTGTTGTCGAAAACCAGTGACACGTGCACGCATATGAAGAAATGTTTACGGTGAGTATCTGCTCGTATCGAACAAAGTCATACAAGAATACCTCCTTCGAAAAGATGTAAAAAAAAAAGGTCAGCTCTCGCCTTTTCGGCCATAAATATATCTGTGTTTTGCCACCGTTCACATGTTGAAATTTGCCATATTCAGAAGCCCGCAAATAATGATCTGCGCACCCATTCACTCAGCT